TGGTAGAGTGGTGGGGAGACCTCCTCTTTCGATCCCATCATCTACACATTTACCCAAAAATTTTTATTCGCACCATTGAATGGTTCATTGTCTTTCAATCAGTATGAAAGGGTAATGTAGAATTATCACCTGCCATAGGATGATAATTTCGGTATATGAACAGTTTACTGGAAGTTCGAAGTTATTTTTCAATTACAGTTCTGCAACTTACCCAACTAATTTTGCGCAAGGCATTACGGCCGAAAACACAAACAGCAATTTTACCTTTTTATTAACGAACTGCAAAGTTTTATTCTTGACGTTGGCCCTAAAAATAGACATTTCATGTGTTTTGCGCATATTTTAAGTTTGGATGCAAGTGATTTCATGATTCGGTGTTTCAATGATGAAATTTTATTGAAGAATTCTTAAATTCTTTATAGCCTGTAAAAAACTTAACAGTCTAGTAAAAGGGCCGAAAAACTTAGTATTAACATACGTGGGTACAAATCTTAAAAAATTCTGTGAAATTAAAAATGGGGATAGCAAGATTTGATGTCTTAAAATGATTTATGAATAAGTCAGTAATGTTGAAAAATCCAAATGCTGTTGAAAAAAAATGTAACTACTTGAACTCGACTTAATTTTAAGTAGCATAAAAATCAAGTCGAGCCTAAATCCCTACGTAGAATGGTAGATCATAGACCGAGCCTGCATATGCTTCAAAAAGTAAAAAACAAATGGAAGGTGCAGATGAAGAAACGTTGTTTCATATACAGATAATAACAAAGTTCATAGAATGATTTCTGATATAATCTCCAATAAGCCTTGTTAAAAAATAATTGTAAAATAAGCTGCATGTAAATCTATGTCGGGTTTGTTATCAGATTTGTCACTAAAAATCCTCTTTTCAGATAACTGAAGAAATATTTCGTCTAGTAATAAACAAAAAAGAAAAAAATAACACAAGCGAAAAGTTTAGCTCGTATTCGTTTAGTTAAATAATATGTTAGAATACAACGATTTCATAATATGTAATGTAAGTTCGTAGATTAATAAATCAAGTATTTTATGTTGCTTATTGTTAGACTAAGATCGCGAGCACCTTCAAAAACAGTATAATAATTAGAACTATCACGCCACCCGGCTGTTTGCGGCACATTGAATATACCCATAAATAATAAAATAAATATTTGCTTAAATGTTACTGATTGTTGTAACAAATATTTCTGTAATTTATGATCTCTTTTAATATTTGAGTACGTAATAAAATGGCATTATCAAGTAAATATACAAATTGGTTAATTTTTATAAATGGATAAAGAGAGTTANAACAATTTTGAAACAAAAGAAAATGAATAAGTATTTTCATTAATGTCTGTTAAAACAATAAGATAATAATTGCGATTGTTAGTCTTGTCTCAAAATTTTGATACCCTATTTTTAAAAATTTTATTATCTGTTTATTTAACGACTATTTGACAGCTAAACGATTAATGCTCTAATTTGTTTTTGTAATTATAGGTATAAAATTTTTGTTATATGTTGCGTTCTGGGAGAAATATTGAGCCTTTATCCAACAAATTTACTTTCCTCGCTACTCGCGTTAAACAGTCTGAAAATTACTCTAGGAATTTTTGATGAAGATGCACAGTATTTAAAAGGTGTCTCTTGAACCTTTTGCAGTTTCATTAATAACAAATGTGTAGAATAATGTAGGCCAATCCAGTCAAAAGGGTGCTGGAAAATACGAACGTTTCATATCCTATTAACTGAAAGTACGTATAAGTGTAACAAAGAAGCACTATGAATTTTTGAAGTGAAATTTCTTTACGCACGGTAGTGTAAGTTCGTTTCATGTGAGTTGCTATGTAACGAAATCATGCAACGGATGTTCCTCCTCTACTCGACCACGTAGTCGACTTCGTAGTGGGGATCGCTTGAGCTGTGAGCGCGCTTCAATGCAACGTTCGTTACAGGCAACTCCGGCATGCATAGTGAAAAATTTAAATTCAGAGTGTACAAATAATGGCATTAAACCAATTCCTTAACCCCTATCTCCTTATGTTTGTGTGTTTGAAGAAGTTTCACTTCAGTAGCGTGTAGTTTAATTACACGTTGTATTTTTTGATATGGTTTCGGTTAAAACAATATCTACCTTATAACGTAATAATTTTAAAAAGGTAAAAGACTTCTAAGCGCTTTTTGTATAAAATTCGCTCGTCAAATCAGACTCTGCAGTCGCTCATTTAGATTAAATGCTTTTAATGGTTACTTTTAAGAATTTTGTACTGCAAATTACAGTGATATTATTTAAGCCCACTGTGACTTCTTCAGGTGATGATTTATGAAATTCGTTTGAATTTCGTAATACCTAATTTATTAAATCATCTCCTGATGAAGGCTTACGCTGCCTTCATTAAGAGATGAAACAATGTTATTGTGATTTATATAAAAAAACATCTTATAATTAACCGGTTTTTGTATTCATTATCAAATTACGAATGTTGTAGTGATCCTGATAGGTAAATATCTCCTGTAATTGTTAATTGCTGTTTCATAAAATGTTTTGAGATATTCAAAAGTATATGATAAAAGGAAGCAAATTTTTCTGCGAATTATATAGTGTTAATTATGCATTATTATCTTAATTAAAATGCCAGTATTGTGACACTTTGTGTTTCGTATGCATGTGGGTAATGGTTTTGATTAATTAATGGAACAATAACTGTGTGCTTGTAATGACGACTGATTAAATATTACTTCAGTAATAAACACTTATCGGTATCAAAAAATTTAATTTTAATTTTAATTTCAACACTGAAGTTTAGGATGAAACAAGGTTGTAACTGTTGTAAATGACGAATGAAGTTTTAGTGTAATGAAAAACAATAAATGTTTATGTGTACATTAATGCAGGTTCTCAGTATAATTAAGGGGTTTGCGATAAATTAACGTATATATTCATTTGATATTAAGTTTTAATCCATCGTTGAACCTTTAGTAATAACAAGCAGATTTCGCGGTCGCGTAAATAATATTCGATCTTTAATCGATTACGGGTTGAAACACTAGAATAAGAACAAAAAACAGTTAAAAACGTAACCTAACCTAACCAGTTAAATCAATTTCTTTTTTTCACAAAATTTTGATTAAATCCAAAACCCAATTTCTATTAAAAACGAAAAAAAGGAGTTGAAAAACTATGACTATTTTATTAGAATAGCAAAAGAAGTAGGTACATACAATTCCTAGGAAATGTATACAATTCCGAAGCTATCAATAAAATATTTTTTAATACACACATATCCTGGGAAATGTATACATTTCCTAGGAATTGTATGAAATTCCAATATTGTACTAGGAAATGTATAAAACCAATGCTTTCAGTGAATAAAATGAATAAAACACGTTAGTAAACTGAGAATCAAAGTTATCTGTGTTTACGCGGTTCCAGTGCGATCGCCTGATTGGATGACGTAATACCCTCCCCGTGCTCCGCTAACCCCGCGCACTCATTAAAATCTTGAATGTAATACATTTCCTATTGCTGTTTAGGAAATGTACATAATTCCTAGGAAATGTGACTAATATAATTTATTTCACACATTTCCGGACGATTTTACGAATTATATACGTTTCCTGGGAATTGTATACAATGACGGATTACACACATTTCTTTATACATATGACAATTAGTTTCTTACAGCACTGAAAACAGTCGCGAACATAAACAAAATAGGCGAAGAAAGATTTAATTTTTAATCTCAAACGAAAAGAAAGTGCTCGTGAAGGTGAATCGCGGTCGACCGAATGTCGTATTCACAGGGAAAGTCCCGATCATCGAGTCGGTTTACTTTTAAATTGACGTGGCTCAATTTTATGTCGCCCTTAGCTACATGAAACTTGAAAATAATTAAGGGGAATCATCTTTTAGGTATGCAGTCAGACAGAGTTGCTAGTGTTAAGTTCATTAGAATGTCAAAAAAGCTAATAATAAGTAGGTATTACAGTCAGTAATTACTTACTGTTTGATTTTCGCAAAATAAATGTATTTATCGGTAATAACGGTTATTGGTTGATAATCTGGCAGGAACTAAGAGGCACCCATTGGTCAAGAGGTTCTCTGCACTTGCCCAGAATGATCAATGGAATAAAGGGGCCTGATTTGGTACAAATCAGTATGACGTTTTCAAATTAGAAAATGATTGATCCCGTTTTTAAAATTTAATTACGCAAACTTTCTCAAACCTATAAATAACGTAGTGATTAAAGATAGTTATGCCGGAACGAATAATTAAGCTTTGTGATGTTTCTTAAAATCATAGTACTATTACTGGAAACGATGTAGTTTCCAAGCCCGGTATTACTTTATCTCTTCTTAACCGTTTTCATCTACCTCTGTTTTCTTTGAGATTGCCTATTTTTTCGTTCCTAAGAAGATCAGTTAACTTTCTATGGATCTCATCAAGAGTACAGTCTTCCACCTTTAAAAAGAAGCTCAATGAGAGCTCTTTACTTTCGCTTCACACTCATTATATATTTTCTTTCACAACAGCAAACAAAAATTAGTAAATGTGACGTTTTCGGCATCCTACAGGAAGTTACTCTAGAATGTTGTAATACTACGGTAAATTCATACCGTAATCCAATAATTCTTGATTCATATAACTTACCCCTGGTGCATAGCACTTCACACAAGGTAACTAGAGATACCTATACCCCCATCACAACCTGACAATATTTATCAAAGATTTTTTTTTAATTTCTGTAAAATAGCAAGAATTAGTTACTATCTCAACAAGATTTGCAATAAGAACATTCTTGTTTATATATGCTTTGAACCTGTCAAGTGTTTTTGAAGGGTTGTTTTTGTCAATGTTGACATTAAGTTACAATTTATTATTTTTATTTGTAAAGGAAACCAATTTAGGATTTCAATTTTGTATGTTCTGATAATAGCAAATAGAAACGGATTTATGGAATTTGATGAAGTTTTCATTTCTATTTGTGTTTCTCAGGAGTTGGGGTCGCAGCCACTACCTACAACCAATTATGACGACGTCGATGTGATTCCTAGGCCCAGGTCAGGCACGTGGGGCTCTAAATCCGATACGAAAAAGCCAGACAAAGACAACAAAAGTAAAACCAAAGAACATAAATCGAAGCACGATAGCAGTAAGTCTGAGAACAAGAACAAAAACGAAAGTAGATCGGAAGGACGAAAGGAGAAGAAGAAGGAAAAGCAAAGGTAGGAATGTTAAAATTATGCAACTATTTAAATTTTTATAAAATATAAATTAATTGCGTCTGTTGACTTCCCTGAATAATTTTTGTGAAACTGGCTGTCTACCATATTTATTGTGTCAACACTGTAGAGGGTGAGAGCGACTTCAAAGTCAGTAAGTCATTGATTTTATAATTATATAAACCCATCAAAATAATGCTCTCTTTGATATGTAATTAATTCATTAAAGTCAAAAACTAGACCCGAAGATCGAAGGCCGAAAAACTCAAAAACCTCAAAATCAGTCAACCAAATATTGGACGTCATATCAACAAAACACTTCACCAATCGACACCCGCACAAATTGTTGTGGGGAATGCTAGGTCATGGGTCGGTGGTTATGCCAACTGTTGAACGTTAGCGTCCCATTGTTTACATTCAATTAATTATCAATTACATTTGGTATCGTTCAATGCGAGATAGGATTAGAAATCTGTTTGTTATTGAATTTCCATGGGTCTTTCGGTCTCTTTTTACAAGAACCTCATCTTTAATTACACTTTGTAGTCTTCGGGTCTTTCTCATTATTTTTCATTTCTTCCAGAGGACCATATTTTTTTGAAAAATAAAAAGTTAAACGGCAAAAGTAGCACACTTAATATTGATTTGCGTATTGATCTTGCATTGAAGTAAATGATTCATTTTTTTTTCTACAAAATTCTGTCGACCAGATGTTCAAGCGGATAAGATAATATGACTATTGTATGTAAATTTATATTAATAGCTACATAATAGCACACACATCAAGGACAAACCATTAGCACTTTTCTTTCAAATAGTTATACATACATTTTACTTAGGTACGATGTTTTTTCGCATTTCAGTTTTTTGTTTTTGATAGCATCTATTTTGCTTATATGTGAATCAGGGGCTTTCCACAAATTACATAACACAATTTGGGGAAAGGGGTAGTCCATCTAGGCGTTACGACCCTGTTACATGGAGGGTAGAAATTGTAATTGTTAATTCAAAAGTGAATTTTTTTCTGAATTCAATGCATGCAATAAGTAAAGGAATGAAGGGGGGGGGCAAGCCAGACATAGTTTTGGTACGTGGGGAAGGGGGGGTAAAACTGATGATTGTATAAGTGTTAATGTCTACAGAATTTCACCTTTTTCGACCCCTTATACCCCTTCGTTACTCTAAGTGATACATTCAACGATTGCGTCATAAAAGCTAGCCCACCTACCTATAAATCATTTCTTGTGATTAAAAGTATAATCAATTTGAAACATAAATTTTTGTCCATTGTTTATGTATCTTTTTAGTACTTGAGGATGACATATTAATGAAAAATTGTAAGAACTGTCAAGTTAAGAAAAAAATTAAAATAAAATAGATGAACTGTGAACGTCACATTTCCTTAGGCCCCCTCCCCCTTGCCCTACCTCGTCACGCTGAATAATACCCCCTTCCCCTTATTTGCGAACATATTTTTTAAACCACCCCTATGTAGTTAATACAGCCGTTTCAATTTTGTTCATATTTTTCGAAATACCTTATTAACAAGTTGAGCAAACATTAATTCTTTTTCATGGCCACATAAGCTGAACTGTACACATGTATCTACTAATTCGATTTTCTCATAAAAATGTATATGTGTAATATTAACTAGCTAGGAAAGGAAATGCTGATGAGATCGGTATATGTACTTACACTGGAATGATTAAGTCTCTACCCATCATGAATCAAATGTTCTTTTATTCGTGCTGAGAACATAATTATTGATACAAATGTAATACGTCCACTGACGCCTGCATACTTATATTTTTTATATAAGGTACTTTTCTCTTCTTACAAACTTGACAATCGTAGTTCATTAATAAGTGAATGGGCATGTAATAAGCAAGCAAATCGAATAATGTTGCAACTTTCGCAGACAAAATTACCTTAATTAATTTATAAGGAGAAAGATCGAAACTTCGAAGTCAAGTATTTGTTACGAAACAGAACATCAGCAAAAAAGGATAATTGAAGTGCGAATACTTTTCTTTCACTTTTATCGATGCGATTTTTGCATTTCATAATAACAAGCCTCTCCTGTACTCACGTAGACTAACCAGATTGAAAGCCGCGCGATTTATCGTTAGCTAATGAGAGTGAGTGTACGTCTAATTTTTTGAATAATTTGAGAACGTTGCTAAACACCTGCATCTCTTGAAATGATGATGGTAATAATAATAATTATTATACAGAAGCAATAATGAATGAAAACAGAACGGTAGAAACTTTTCGTGTTGTGCAAACAAGTCACGGCCGTGTTTAACAAAATTGAGACGATTTAACATTATACTTAATAAATAAACATGCTAAAACGAGGAATATGGTTATCGAAAGCTAAGAATTCATAACATTTGTAGGCGTATTATAGACATAGTTAAGTTGCCAGGCGTTTTCTGTGACGGTCACGTAGTTTACGTATTATTATTGCATTGCATCGGCGAATAGTTTTTATTATATTGAATAGTTGGCTTTGTGCGTATCAATATTGATAATGCTTGGTCAGTTTTATAAAGGAGGTGTCATTGAAATTTTACTTCGTAAGTAAGTTAAAGTAGAATGTTTATTTTTTTCCTAAAAATCGCCTATCCACCTCTCTAATTGATAACGTAAAAACTATTAATAATTATTATCACCCATTTGATTTTCTTCGTTCCTTCCTCCTGTACTTAAAAAAGTTTGAATACCCTATGATAATGTATGAAAATAATTTTATCAATTTTTTATTGTGTAATATGCAACTGAAGATGAGTTAGTATCAAGAGCGTATAATTAAAGGTTGTTACTATTTACTGACATATTGATGAACAGGTTGTGGCGTTAGAATCTAGGGAATATGTAAAGTAAAATTAAGAAAAGTTTTTCAGTTATTCATATTAAGAAATTTGACATAAAAATCAAAAATTGTAACAGATCTTTTTTTGTTCTAGTAGTGGCAGTAGAAGTGGCTCAACGTCTCGATCAAGTTCCGCCGAAAGACGAAAATCGGGCGATGAAAGTCCGAAAAAAGGGGGTATGTTTGATGCCTTTCGAAGCAGATCAAATTCTGATGCGAGCAAGAAAAAGGCAAGTGCCTTTATGGCCACGATGAAGAGTGCCATGCTGGTGAGTAATAAAATTATCATTCCCAGAAATTTAGCATTGTTTGCCTTTACAGTTAGATGTTAATGTCATACAGCAGCGTTTATAAAGTTGCCTACAAAGTGAAAATAAGATTAATATGAAAGTAATATAAAGTTTGTTTTTCTGAATTTTGATAAACCCTTGATTATCTTATGCGCTCATTTTCTTAAACATTATTTGATAAAAACTTAGTTTGTGCGTCAATAGTAACAACTTACTAAGATAATTTTTTTTGCTATTTTGTTACATTCTGTCAATACCAGGTAAAAAAGTATATTTTTAATATTTAGTTTTCCTATTTACGACCTTAAAAAAGGTTATAATATGCTGTTAGCGTTAGTTAGCGAATGTAGTTTAAATCGATGTTTTTTATTGTTCAGCATAAGCCGTTCCTAAGGTCAGTTGTTTTTTAATTCATTTTGTAGTGTTTTCTAAGAAAGTAATAATTTTTTGCTCATATTCTTAACCAGCTTTTGATAAGTTTTACTGTTTAAAGTTTTCCTGAATCATTCATTTATTGTTCATAATTGTTCCTTGAACAATTTTGAAACAAAAGAAAATGAATAAGTATGCAAAAATAGTTTTTTTTTTTAATAAAAAGCTTCTTGGGAGTAGCACATGCATTAGGTTGCTTTGTTTGTTGTTACTGACGTAATTTATTACTTGCTCATTTATTAACGACTAAAAATGTTTAATTGAAGCCAAAAATAGGTTGTGTACTTGCCAGATACTACTTCAAACTTTTTTCATTCATTCGCATCACAAACTTATTTAATTTTTCTTGTTATATGGACGAGTTATCAAAATTTATTATTATTAGGTACATAAAGATGCATGAGTATTGTAATTATATGTATCTAATAATTTCATATTTTTACTGTTAATTTAGTTTTAAATTTTTTATTCAAAATCTCTACACATAATACGATTATTGAACTTGCTAAAAATTTTTTTCCCTTTATTGTTACAGCATACCGGTTTCATGCATCCTAAAAGAACACCCAGAGATGGGTCAGCTCACCCCGTGCGCGATGGTGACTCGCATACCCAGTACTACCATACTGTCACTGCTGCTTCGACTAGTCGTAGCCCTATGACTAAAGTGATGGACATTTTCAGGAACAGGTCTCATGCTAGCGTGCCCCCAGAGGACAGAAGAAAGGTAAGTCTTCCTTTTTATCAGTTTAATATTAAAAAATTAAANTATAACGCTTATAACTCTATCTAATGAAACTATTCAACGGTTCAAGATTTTTATCATCTCATCACTTTGATAGTCTTCAATAACACCATCTTCAAATTAATTTTTGCACCGATTCCACTCCAAGAATTCAAAATATCGACTTTTAAGGCTAATGAATTTTCGTTTCTATAAGCGAAGGTTTAGTTTGTGAGTTATTTTACATTATACGATGGCCTAAGATAATTAGCAGGTTGCCTACTGCATAATCATCGCCTGGTAAGTTTAAGAGAAATTATAAAGTTAAAATATAAATATTTTTTTGTCAAAGCCAATGAATTCCTACCTCAATTTGTATAAACATTAACTTAAAATAAAAACGTTCGTCTACACGTCTCATTAACAGAATTTTGTTCTGTCGAAAATAATTTTCATTCTACAGACGATAAAGCAACACATTCAAAAACTAAAATTAAAAGTTCTGATGCAGATTGTACATTAGCGATACCATTAGAATGACGAATGTGATGGATTTATTTTTATTCAGATAGATGCGATTTTAAACAATGTCTATGCAAAAAAAAAATCAAATTTCAAAGCGCCTTTGTTTTTTCGATATATTCAAAAAATCGTTTAAACAATTTTACAAGTCAAGGATTTCATGTACATACACATGTCATTTGGTATATAATTACAAGAGATAAAAAAAATTTGCATTACAAAAAAGGCAATTACTCCACGTGTTTATTGCTTTTTTGTTTTTAAGTAAAAACTTTTTTGTTAATGAACATTTCGTTATTTTGCTATTATTTTTTTTATTGCACTTGTTAGTTTTTCTTCGAACCTTTTCAATACAAAACCCACTTGAAATATTTTTGAATTTCTGGAACCGAAAATGTTGTTAAATAAGACGACCATGGGGGTACTATTGATTCCCGGGTATAAGTTCATTCTTTTTTATTATTTAGTTCAGATAAAGGAAAAAGCAACAATTCCGATTCACTTTTAAATAATTATGCAGTGATTTATTATCAATTTCTAAAACAATGAAAACAAGAAGTACCTTTCTCATACGAATTATCGAATTATATCTTGTTACACTCGTCTCGTAAATATCGTCATTCGAAGAGATATAAAGTTATGGAATTTAGTGGTTTTCAGTAAATTACTGATACAGATTAGATAGATGTATGTCAATAAAATGACTAATGAATTTTAATAATAAAAAGATGCTTGTTTTGAAGGTGTCATTGTAAATAATTGATGTAATAATTTTAAATTAACTTAAACTTAAAATTAACTTAACACTTTCTTGTAAAGTGTTAATAGGGCAAATGTATATTAGCTATGCCGATTCAGCATTGTAGCGTCTTTTTAGATATTTTAAATTGAAGGTTTCTAAAATTCTGAAAAGAAAATTTTATTCAGCCTTTGTTTGGATTAACTATTTTTAGGATAATCATGTTTTCATTAATCACCAATATAAGCATATTAGGTTGAATTCGATAACATTCTACAGCACTATTTTGGCTCACATATTTCTTAAAATTTAATTTTAATTTTTTATATACACTTACCAAGGCGAAAACGAAATTAAATTTTTGAATATTTCGGTAGTTTCTAAGTGTAATCTTTGTGTTTTTGAAAAATTGAAGTATTTTTATTAAAATTTATACAGTCGCACTGTAGAAAAATAAATTTATGCGTGATTGTTAAAGTTGTTGACTTGCATAATTAATTAAAGTAGTTGGTTTTGTTTTTCTCTTCGCTAGGCGACTGCATTGCAAATCACTTTTTATTGACTATTAATGTCCAGACATCATAACAAAAACAAATGTGTTTTCGGCAAAAATTATGTAAGTCATAACGAAATGCTGGACATATGAACGTGGGATGATGATAAGATTTAGACCAGAAGTGATAACGAGGGTTAAAAATGTTTGATTCGCTTTTTTTGTCCTTGCTAAAATATAATTTTAAATGCACCCTCTCTAATCGTATAAGTCGTACTGATTCAAATTCATAATTTTATTTAAAAAAAGGTGTTTCTGCAATGAAAGAATAATTAAGGTTTTTAACCTGATCTGTTGTTTTGTACTATAGGTATGTAGTGTGGGGTAATTAATAAAATATGTGCTTAGTCCGCCAATAGGGATAAAGAAATAAGAAGGTGGGGAGAATCGAAAGAGGAGGTCTCCCCCACCACTGTACTATAAAAAGTTCGTGGCGGTCTCACCCCCACAAAAAATTATAGAGGTTCAAAGTTAATAAATATGCCAATTTTTATACATTTTTAGGCATGTAAATATTTATATAGTCATTCTTAAACAATATTCAAAGGTAAAACTAAGGGAAAAATACATAAAAATATTGATAAAGTTATATAAAACATTATTTATATATCTTTATCAATAGGGTAGGTTAGGTTAGGTTATCGGGTTTTGTTCAAGTGACCACCCTCTTTCGATACCCCACCTCCACTCTCTTGAAAATAATTTTTTTATGTGGTTTTACTCAGGTGACCACCCTCTTTCTATCTCCCCTACCCTCTTTCAATCCCTTTTACCCCCACCCCCATCTAACCCCCAAAACTTTTTATGGGGGTGAGATCGCCACGAACTTTTTATGGTACAGTAGTAGGGGAGACCTCCTATTTCGATCCCACGAAGGGAGTGGGGGGCATCATCTAGACATTACCGAAATTTTTGTTTGTTTCTGGGAATGATTTACTTTTTGCATAATGATTTTTGTCTTGATCCTTTTGTAATGTCAACATCACTTTCTTCTTGTTACTGGATTGCTACATTTATAACGCTTATAACTCTATCTAATGAAACTATTCAACGGTTCAAGATTTTTATCATCTCATCACTTTGATAGTCTTCAATAACACCATCTTCAAATTAATTTTTGCACCGATTCCACTCCAAGAATTCAAAATATCGACTTTTAAGGCTAATGAATTTTCGTTTCTATAAGCGAAGGTTTAGTTTGTGAGTTATTTTACATTATACGATGGCCTAAGATAATTAGCAGGTTGCCTACTGCATAATCATCGCCTGGTAAGTTTAAGAGAAATTATAAAGTTAAAATATAAATATTTTTTTGTCAAAGCCAATGAATTCCTACCTCAATTTGTATAAACATTAACTTAAAATAAAAACGTTCGTCTACACGTCTCATTAACAGAATTTTGTTCTGTCGAAAATAATTTTCATTCTACAGACGATAAAGCAACACATTCAAAAACTAAAATTAAAAGTTCTGATGCAGATTGTACATTAGCGATACCATTAGAATGACGAATGTGATGGATTTATTTTTATTCAGATAGATGCGATTTTAAACAATGTCTATGCAAAAAAAAAATCAAATTTCAAAGCGCCTTTGTTTTTTCGATATATTCAAAAAATCGTTTAAACAATTTTACAAGTCAAGGATTTCATGTACATACACATGTCATTTGGTATATAATTACAAGAGATAAAAAAAATTTGCATTACAAAAAAGGCAATTACTCCACGTGTTTATTGCTTTTTTGTTTTTAAGTAAAAACTTTTTTGTTAATGAACATTTCGTTATTTTGCTATTATTTTTTTTATTGCACTTGTTAGTTTTTCTTCGAACCTTTTCAATACAAAACCCACTTGAAATATTTTTGAATTTCTGGAACCGAAAATGTTGTTAAATAAGACGACCATGGGGGTACTATTGATTCCCGGGTATAAGTTCATTCTTTTTTATAAATACGAGAAATATCTTTTAATTGCGTTAAATAATAATTTATTGTTAAATAATATGATAAAAATATACATTAATTCTGAGACTCTTCAGCGAAAAACAGATACTTTTGATTTACTTAATCATTGACATAGACTTGCAATTGGGATAGCTGAAAATTAGCTATACTGTAAATGAGAATACACGAGTGCAACGATAGTTTAAAGTAAACATGGGGCGGGTACCCTTTTAGATCCGGTCTAGTAGGGTGCCGGACGATAGGTCAAGTAATTCGACCACAAAGAAAAATCAACGAAAACTGCGCACTTATCTTGCAGGGTCAATTCCTGTTCCTGGGTATTCGGTCATGTCTAGTTTCAACATTGTCGCTACATCTTCGATTAGGTTATAATTTGAATTAGTTTCTTTGACTAGTACACCGCTTATGATATTCACCATACTCCAGGGCTAACTAATTAGGAACTAAAAATAATACTATAATTATTAATTTTTACACGTAACATCAATGGCATTTTATTTATCCTAACCGGGTAACTTTATTAAAATTAAAAAGTAAGGTGTTAATCTATTAATCTCATTAGTGATGCGTTAATGCTAATTTACATCTATCGATAATTACAGTGGGTTTAATTGAATTTATAAAGAGCTTTTCGGCATTGTGGTACTAAGGTGCATCTATATGTGTTTTCTCTTGTTAAACTTAGATGTACTTCAAAACCTGGTTTATTTTAAAAATATTAGCACATCTTACTTGACGTGTTTTGTAACTTTTATTGTTTGCGTTGTATGTTACATTATGAGCGTTAAACAGCTGATGTTATTAGGTATAGGTACCTATATCTCACCGCAATTTCATTTTCACATTGACACGAGTGTACCTATCAGGGTTAAGTAAATGTACCGTTGTTTGCCTTTTCCATAAACAAAACAATTCCAACATAAACAAGATGGTGCTATTGTTCATGTTGAAGTAATAAGAGACATCATTTTGTTTTATTGTATCAATGTAACAACATTGCGGAATACAATAAAGTGCTTTTGTTGAGGATTTTATTCATAAAATGTCAACCTAACAATATAAAGTAAAGGTTGTACATAGGTATGTACATATTTATAATTTCTCGTAGCCAGTAAATTTGTATAATAAATGTAGGAGAATTAAATTTCTACAACGGAAAGGTATTATACATTAAAATAATAAAGATAAAAAGACGAGTTGGTATCATCATCGTCATAAGATC